CTTCTGTTTATACATGCCGCTACTGCGTACCTCTGTAACTGTGGCACCGTCTCCACGTTGTGGGCATACACATCCAGGCCCGACGATGCTACTTTCTCCACAGCTTTAAGGTCCCCTCGAAAATCAGGGGTTAGGCATTCTACCAGGATTTTTGAATTCCTGAAAAGGAGAGAAATGAACACAGCTATGGGATTTATGTCACTGTTGCTAAAAAAACCTCAATATAGCAAAAAACCAGATGTAACCAAATAAATGATGCCTTGATAAGCAAAGCAAAGCTAATTCAGGATACACTTCTAAACCAACACATTTCTGCCAATACTTGTATTACAATTCAAACAAAACATCATGTGTTTAATTCGTCACTTTACTGATGTGAGCTGAAATAGAAGGAAAGCCAAATAATAAATATCAAAAGGGGTTCCAACAGTCTCTTAAACAATCACATGCACTGTTTATACATAGTTTTTTCTGTGTCTTTGTTGCAGATTAATTTAACATGAGTTTAATATAACTGCAAAACACAGAGGAGCTATAATCCTGCCTACTGGCATAGGAAGACTCTGCACTGTTGCCCTGGAATCTAATCCTGGTGTCCAGGAGCCAGATTTCAGCTCAGAAAGGCAGGTGAGGAAAACTGCAGGAACCATTCCAGTCCCAGGATACACTGGATAAAGACTTAGATGAGGTTATACGAATTAAACCTGCAGGCAGAAAGTATGCTATCAAATGGCATACAGGTCACCGATGCAGAGAGTGCAGAAGGCATAGCTAGGTACAGTAGGAAAGTACAATCACAGTTAGAAATGTCCATTGTGGGAAAATGCAAAGCCATCTGATCACTGCTGGAAGAGAAACCCAACTTCCTTTGTAACATGGTGATACTGTTATCTAAACCCAGTGTTTGAGCCCCAAGCTTCAAGAATGAACATACCTCAAAGGATGGACTCATCTCCTGGTAAACCAGCTGCATGGTCAGAGAAATAATCCAGTGCTTAGCTTCAAATAAGCTTAGGCTAAATTAGAAATGCATCCAAACTCAAAACACTGCAGGGCCATTATATGAGAAAGATGAAAAACGGGAAAAAAGGAACACAGATAGGCTAAAGGCAGACTTTTGTATTTGCATGGCCACTGGAATAACCCAGCTGAAGGTAGTTTTGATCTATATGCAGTACCACTTTCTAAAGTTTTCATAATAATAATAGTAATATGTTAATGATGTACCTTTCTTTCAGATGAGAGACTGTCTTTGCAAAGTGTTCTGCTCCACCATCAGGCATATCTAGAAGCATTTCAGTTATTCAATTAACTTTTCAGTTCAAGAAACGTACTCACTTATTAGCAAAGGCACAAAAAACCTACAGAGTCAAATGTAAATGCAAACTAATAAAGCAGTCAAAGCTCAGTCTTATCTTACTCCATATGCCAAAGGTTTACAACAGATATTCTACCAAGCCTTGTTCTGCACAAAGTCTAACTATGATCGTCTAGGGCAGACTTCAAATGTTTACTCCGAATTTACCCGTCTCTAGGTTCAGCCTCAGCACAGAATGTCTTTATCTATTTATGTTTTCGGTCTCAGAAACCATTCTACAAAAATTGAAATACATCTGTTATTGCTCTTTTATTGTAAGCCACTTTGAAGCTACTGGACTTTCCACCAAAGTCTACTAACCAGTCTTTACCATGGTTTTCCCCACCTATGTGGTGTCATCACAAAGGAGCTATTACAACCTTAGGAAAAGGTAACTTTCAGTTTTGTTATGTATAATACATTCCAGGTTTAGTTTTTGGAAGGAAGTTCTGTAACGGCATGGTATATAAATGTTTGTAGGTTTTTTTTGCTAATCAAGTAATAGAACATAATGTACATGTACATATTTTTGCTAAAGTTATAAAATATTTGTTGTAATATTCTTCATGTTTAATAGCAGTGTAACTTCTGTTACATTGTACCAGACATAGAGAGATACTAAGAATATGTAGAAACTTTCCAAAGTTTCAGCACTGCCCACTCCTTTAAAATAGTAATCCTCAACAATTGCACCAAGTGATGAATGTTTACGGAGATCTGCGTTCACCCCATGGAATGCATATGAGAGCATAGACTGGAGGAGATGAGAGACAACATACTAACCGTCTCTGTCCACAGACGTCAATACAACATAGTCCAAGCCCCACTCAGCTATAGCCTTTGCTGTGTTGTAAGGCTCCTTGGGATCCAGTGGAGGTGGATTTTTGGCTGTCTTTACTGAACAAAATCTGCAACCTCTAGTGCATGTGTCACCCATCAGCTGAAATAAGAAAGACATTCTTACCTTTATGTTGTACGCATCACTATCGGTCAGCTGAGAAACAGCTGCATAAGATAGATCAGATAAATCCCAATACTAAGCGAAAAAACTAGGACAGTGCTTTGCTCTAAATTTCTTGTAACAAACGCGCTCCTTTGCAGTAGTGATCCAACAATACACTTCAAACAGCTCAAACATTAATAGAACACTTAAGAAATGGTTAATGGCTTACCATAATAGTAGCTGTAGCTGTAGCATACTCGCCACCTCCCCAGCATTCTCCGATGTTGGGACAACGGGCTTCTTCACATACCTAAAGTTCAAAGACAGTAATGTACCTGTCTTTTTTCCATGTTGGTACTGAAATTTATATTATTATTGTTGTTGTTGTTATTATTGATATTATTATTATTATTATAAAATTCAATAGTAGGCTACAAACAAAACACAACTGATGATAAATTAGGACTTTAACAGAGTTACATGTTCTATGAGCAGTCAGTAGAATAGCTAGGAAGAAAACAGTTGTTTCCCGACATCTATTGCCATTCTTTTCCTCTACTTTACAACTCCAAAAACTCCTTGGCCAAGTAACTGACTTGTTAATTAGCACAGATTGCCATTAACATTTTAAATGTAAAAATTTATACAATATTCACAAAAACTATGATGCATTTCCACGTATGTTTCCATTAAAAACCGTCACACAGAGCATCTTCTGATCTCTTTGGTGATGCAAGCTGTAAACCCTGATATTTAAAATCATACAGGAAAACCAGAAAATTCTCTATTGGCTTTTCTTATTCATTCTTTAGGAGCAAAATTCACTGCTGGCGGAAGGGATCAGCACTGGGCTTGGTTTCGGCATTGAAGATCATGTAAGACATGGTTTCCACCTGTCCTTCATGAAACAATAATTTTGTATCCTTAAAAAATGCCTTATTTCTACAGAAAAATTGGTACTAGATTTACCGTATGAAGATTTAAACTTCTCAAGGTGTTCTTTAGTTTATTGTAGTTCTTTCCCATGGGAATCTTTGTTTTCAGCCATGGAGGAAGCCGCAACCTGAATAATACCAAGTAAACATAAAGATCAATAAATTATTTATGTGGTAAGCTTTCATTACTTCCATGGATCCACTTTAATTTGTTACAGGTCCCAACTAGGAAAGGTTCCTTGGAAACTGATGTGACTCAGCAACCAATATTAACATCATTCTGACTCATAACAGACTTCTCTATTCCATGTTTATGATCATCCCAGCATTCAAGAGTAGGAGTTTGTTGTCACTGGAAGATTTAAAACTGCTAACTGTACCATTGGGATTTAACAGTGCCACGGTGGAGACTGCAACAATTAATGGCAGTTTAAATTACACGCCTATCACAAAGTCTGGTCAAATTTATAACTGCAAACATGAGTGTTTAAAGCATTTTTTAATTTAGTCTTCATCTGTTTGTTTTATGCTATTAAGAATATTTTTTCAACACCAAAATAGGGTATACTCACCTACTGATACATAATTTGACACAATTCAAGGCACAGGCACTCAAGTGAGAGACCACCACCACATCTTCATGTTTTGTTATGGATTTGAAGTTCATAACATGTTTGTTCTTTCTTGAAAAATTAGGAAATTGGCAAGCCAGTGCAACAGAATTTAATAAAAATACATTGTATACATTTTGTAGTCAATACTAAACACGCAAGATATGGCATGGAAGCAACTACAGTTGTGTAAAATCGCAATTACCTTTCTCCTTTCTGACGCTTTAAATTGCCTTTATACTCAGCCCACACGCTCTTGTCTGACAAATCTCCAGATACAAAATCTTGTAGGTCTGGTCCATTTTGCAGAAACTCTTTTTTTTCCTCTGTTAAAGAACCCGATGTTCTGTACTGGTTACACACATGGCTCCCTGACACCTAAAAGAAGCAACCTTCTCATTTATTGAATTATTAATGCACTAGTATTACATACTAAATAACTGCTTGTCCTTTTGATGGTTAACGTATGCTTTGTGTATTTTGCCAATTGCCTTTACTTTAAAGATGTAATTGTCTTCTTCATTTTAAGTGAAACACAACGCATGATCTCTTTAAAAAATCTTAATATCAAACTAAGTTTTTGGGTACAGATAACACTGTATGGATTAATTTGAGATTTCGGGGCTGAAAGGTGGTGTGATGACTAACCGCATGCTGCCGTGTCAGTAACCGACCGACAAAACGTAGCCCAGGCCGGGCTCCCAGGAGCGGGGTCTGAAGCGGGTGGGGTCCGTGGCTCAGCCTTCCCAGTGTGTGCCCACGGGCACGGCAGCTCTCCGCCGGCTCACGCCCCAGACCAGGCCGCCGGTG